GGGGGAGATGTGGGCTGCAGCTCCCTGGTTTTGCCCCATTGTTAGTGAACTCTTGGAAATGCAGAGCTTTTCCACTGCTGGGATGGGCAGGATTGAACCAGGAGCATGCAGGAGATGCGAGTGTTGCATAAATAAGACAGTAAACCTCCCCTCTTGCTGTTTTTACTGTGTTTCCTCACCCAGTTTGAATTGAAACGCTTTCTGCTCGCATGACTTGGTGTGAGGCCCTCGGCTTCCTGAAATGCTGGGAGACTGTTGGTGGCCGTTGTTTTTCCCCAGGATCTGGCTGGAAATGGTGGTGCAAACCCGCAGAGGGCAGTGGAGCTGAGAAATCTCCACTGCTGGGCTTGCAGGAGTTAGCAATGCTACCAGCGTGGTATTTTGGCCTGGATCTGGCCCTGCGTGTTTAAAATGCGGTGAAATGCCTGTGTTCCTAGGAAAAGAGGAGCGGCGTGGGTGTAAGGCAAAGAGGAATTAAGCAGGGAGAGCAAGGCTGGGGTGAAAGGGTGTTTTCCCAGCTGGAAGAAGCAGGGAAGGGAGCACAGCCTGTCGCGGGTAGAGGTAGGATGCTGTCGGAGGCGGTTTAGCCATCTGATGGGGCAATATTTTTTGTCTCTTGGGGTTTTACTCGGAGTGTGGTGTCTTGGCCACCGTGGAGGGGACGGCCCCAGCACTGGAAGGATTTCAAGGGTGAGCATCGGCTTGCATTGTGGCAGGGGGATGCCACGGTCAAGGCTCTCCGTGCTGGGCTTGGAGCTGGTGGCGGCTGTTTGCTGCTCCGGGAAGCTGCCGGGTGTAGGCAGAGCAGGCAGGAGGTGACTCATCCCGCTCCCGTGCTGGTGTCTGGCGTGGGCTTGCCTGATCCTGGGTGGTATTTGCTTTATTTTGTGCTCAGCCGTGCCCTGGAGGGCAGAGATGTTTGCTGAGGGCTAAGCCTGGGCAGGAGGAGGAATGGGGAAAGCTTCAAGCAGGGCTGTTTTTTTGGGTTTTTTAAAATTTTTTTTCTTGCCTGGAGGGTGTTGGAAGGGGATCAGTGCGGGGGAGAAGCCCTAAGAGGGAGGCACTGTTGTGCTGTGCTGGGTGAAAGTGGGTGCCTGGAGCAGGCCAGAGCCTCCAAAATGAGCTGGAAATGGCGGCTGTTTGCAGGTTTGGTGGGGCCAAGCCAGCTTTCCAATTGCAAGAGGCTGAACCCAACCATCTGAAACTGTTGTTCTCCTTCCCCGTTTCCCCCTTCTGAGCAGTATCCCCAACATACCATGACAGTCACTTGCTGGGGCCATCAGATTTTAGGGCAGTGAACGGACCAAAAGCTTCCTCAAACAATTCCTGCAGGAAAACAGTCTTTTTCCAGTGATACCCCCATCCTTTATGTCTTTTCCCAAGCTCACCAACAGCTCTGGTGTTCCCACTCCACTCTTTGCCGCGTGGTTGTCAGCATCCCTGCTGTTCCAGGTACGCAAGGGGCTGGTGGGACTGGAAAAAGGGTGGGTGATGCTCTGAAACGAGAGCTCAGCACTGTGAACTCAAGCTGCCTGCAGCAACACGTTGGTTCCCAGGTGCTAATAAAGCAGCAGGAAAAATAGGAGGGAAAATGAAATGGAGAGGAACCAGAGGCAGTAGGAAGGGCGCGAATCCAGCTGGCACTTGCTCAGGCTCGCCAAATCTGCAGGTTTTGTTGGCCAAATCATCCTATGTGGGGTAGTAGAGAGACCTGTCTGCTTTTTCCTTTTAGGGGGGAAAAAAAAAAAAAATATAAAAATATGGCTGGGGTGAACGCATAGATCTGGCAGAGCCAGGAGCCAGGTTCCTTTGCATGGCTAGCACACTTTGGGAGCTTCAGCAGACAATATGGTGAAAATGCTGGGGGTTTTTTCCTTTCTAAACAGTAAAAAGAAGTGATATATCTAAAGATACTTGAGCTAGGAGGCTCTTTCACAGCTGTGTTTACAGGCAGCTATTTCTGTAGAACAGGGGGAGCTGTAGATATCAATTTGCTTTTGGTACAAATTTCCTTCCGCATGAAGAGGTGTACCAGAGTGCCATGCTTGGGAGGCGGACGATGGAATGGTGCTGGGTAGCTCCCCCCTCCCGACCACACAGCTTTACTTGCACCCTAAAAATTATTATAGCAAAGTCTTAGCGAGCTGTGGAAGGGGATCCATCTCCCCAGCAGGCTGCAGACAGGAGAGATGTGCTGTCAGTGTAGCAGCTCTTTAGGTTGGCTGGGGATCTATCAGTCCTCAGGCAAACCCCCTACCATGATGAAAGTTCCTCCTTTCTGCTCCCATTTTTGGGGAGTGGGGGGAGTATTTGGCCTTTTCTTGAGGTCATTCTCATTCCTCTCTTCAGTCTTTAGTTTTACTAGTAGGGAATTGGCAGGCAGTCTGGCTGGCGGTAGGCTTCAGAGGAAAACTGGCTCAGAAAAAAGATACCTGGAGACCCCTCTTGTAGCTAAGTATTTGTTCCTGGCTGCAGATGAAAATAGTCACCATTCAGGACTCCTTTACAGGCTGGCAAGGCTTGTTTGGGCTTTCTGCCCCTCAAAAATATCTCATCATTTTCCATTTCACCCCATTTCCCATAAGCTCTTTGAGGTAGATGTGAGCTTCCCCTCATCCCAGGCATTTCCCTTACACCAGCGTGGAACAAAAAGCACAGAAAGGGAAACTAAATAGCATGCTAATCATCTTCCCTCGGCCACCAGCTCCTCTAATAACTTCTGGCACTACGCAGTGTGCTTGTTCAGTGTGGCTATACCATGTAGATAGCACCTTAGTAAGTAAGAAACTATCCTAGTTGCAGAGCTACTCTTACTGGAGGCCAGCACGGTGGCATGGCAGCTTGTAGGAGCTTTTCTTCTGAGATGGCACCTTGGAGGATGGCGAGCCTTGGGGTATGCTGCAGTCCTCCTCTGTCTGCCTGCACAGGCAGGCATTATGTCCTAAACTCACCCGCACAAACAGAATTTTTCAATAATTCAGAGGCTGATTCAAAAGGGAAAATGTACTCAA